GTTAAACAGAGAGAAAAAAAAAAAGAAAGAAAAAGTAAAAGGCAGAGGGGGAAGCAAAGAAACAGGGAGAACAGCTCCTCTCCTGCACTCCAGAGCACGGAGTTAAACCGGGGGGTCAGGACTCAACACCTCCTTCCCTCCTCTTGGCAGAGCAGCAGCTCCTGCCAGTGGCAGAATCTCCGGTGTGTCCCTGGCCACGGGCAGCACCGGGCTCCTGCTCCCTCGCTGTCCTTCTGCCCAGCCCCGGGAGGGCAGAGCAGTTCAGGTGGCAGTTTCATGGCATGGCTGACAGTCCATGCGGGCAGCAGCGTCCTCAGCGCGCTCTGCCAGGCACAGTTGGGATGGATGCTGAGTCGGCCGAGCTTCGCGCTCCAGCCCCCAGCACAGTCCGGCTCCCGCCTCCCTTATAGGAAACCCTCCTTCCGGAACTGCTCCTTCAGGACTTCTCTGTACTGGTCGAAGCCGCCCTCGATGCGGGTCACAGTAGTGTTCTCACACACCCACAGCTCCTGGCACACCAGGCGGATGAAGCGCTCGTTGTGGGACACCAGAATTACACCGCCCTGCCAACACACAAGAAGGGAAAAAAGGGAATTTAGCGGAGCATGACCCAGCGCTGGTGGCATGGGGATCCCGCGTGCCTGCCTGGCCTGTGCCCAGGACTTCAGGTTTCCATCCACTCTAGGGAAAACGCTAGTGATACTTCACTGGCAGGGACCTAATCCCAGCCTTTCCTTCCTTCAGTGGGACAGACAGGATGTATGGAAGAGGCACACGCAGTTTAAGGTATTTAGCCTCCCCTCTCGGAGTGCAGGGTTTGGTACTGCTCTCCAGGTCTCTGACAGGTGGAGTCAAAGACAGGGAAAAGGTGGCTGGATCAGGCCCTGAGCAACCTCGATTCACCTTTTCTTTCACTGCCCCAACCCAGGCAACTACAAAACAGCGAGAACCAGGTTGATCACAGCTGTATCTGGAGGCTGCATCTTTGGACATCAGGCATAAAACCTGCCTAAGGAAGATCCCAGAGGCCCCAAGGCAGGGATGAGCACTGCATGCAGCACATGAGAAGACACAGGATGTAGATGACTGGCCAAGATGGGGGACAAGGGGCGCTCTGGTCTGCTGTTGCCTCTCTCAGCCATTCCTAGCCAAAGTCAGCAAGTGAAACAAACCAGCAGGATGGACTGCTAAGGCAGAAATGTGACTGACCCTTCTCAACATCTGTCCTGGACTTGAAGCCACCACTGGTATCTGATTGTCCACCTCTGGATGAAGTATCAAGTAACCTGAGCTAGAGGCTGTAGGGAGCATTAGAAAAACAAGAGATCTTGCTGAGGGAGCCTTACCCGGAACCTATTCAGTGCCTTTGCAAGTGCCTCGATAGTCTCCATATCCAGGTGATTTGTCGGCTCATCCAGGATGTAGAAGTTTGGACTGGAACAGAAGACAGCTTTGAGCATGCACTGAAACAGGCGAGGCTGGGCTCGCACCCTGTCTCACTGCAGCAACCTCCGCTGGGCTGCCGCTGCTTTAGCCACTTACGGCCACAGGCACTGGCACGTGCCGGGCCCCAAGATCAGCGTTTCCCAGCTCCAGGGACACCTCTTATCCCTGTGAGCCCAAAGGAGCAGGAGAAAGCCACTTGCCTCCTTTCACACAGTCCCTGCAGGGTGACAACCTCCCTCCCCACCCAAGTTCCAAGGATGAGGCTTCCACAAGGCTGCGGAAAGTCCCCAGATGCCCGCCCCTTCCTCCTGGTGAAGCAGGCTCCAGGGATGGAGCCATATGAAAGTTAACAGCATCTTGGAGAAAATTACCAGGACATAGTCATCTGGGCAAAGGCCACGCGACTCTTCTGACCTCCAGACAGGCTGGCCACAGGACGCACAGCCAGCTCCCCTGAGATGCCGTAGCTCCCCAGCTGATGCCGGTACTCCTCCTCCGTCTTTCCTGCATGTCACAACACAGCTATGGCACATCCGGCGTGACACAGGGCCCTCAGTGCCGTGAGCTCAGCGGGCGCTGCGGCTGGGCAGCCTGCACCAGACCAGCATGGCAGGGGGGAGGAATTCAACAGTTGCTTCCAGGCAATTCCCTCCCAAGCAGGGGGTTTGCGGGGAAAACCTGACTGACACGATCAGGACAGGGGCTGCAGGGCTGGTGACTGACTCCAAGCGACACTGTCCTTGCCATTCCCTGTCACCGCGTTACGTAATGTTGAGCGGAGAAGGGAGCCGGCAGTTTTGCCATCTGGCAAAGGGGGAGCCAGTGCTCGTTCTGTGCCCAGCAGCAAAGTTGTGTCATCTGTCCCCAAAACCTGGCAACGGTGGAGCACCAGCCCGAGATCTGCAGGCTGCCAGCTACCCCTGCACAACCAGCTCAGCTTCTCACGGCTGGTGTCCTGAACTTGTGCTGGATGTGGGGATTTAACCCAGATCAGACAGTGTCCCCTAAGCACAGATGTGACAGAGCCTTCTGCCCAGGGCCATGGAACAAATCGATGCACGTGGCAAAGGAGACCTCAATGGCCCAGATCTCCTGGGATCTCCAAAACTCACCTGGAAACTTTCTTGCCAGCAACTCTACAGCACTGATGTTCAAGTCCAGTTGATCCACATGGTGCTGGCTGAAATAACCAATCTTTAGGTTTCTGCAGAATGAGAAGCGAGATCAGGAGCTGGTACCAGGCCTTGCAACCACGGTGCTCACAGCTGCAGCTACAGGAAGGGGGGCACATACGTGGGTGTGTCCAAAGCACAGCCCAGAAGCCCTTCAGCTGCACCATTCCTCCCAGTCCCCCAGCCCTTCCTACCAGGTACCTGTGAGCATGTCTGATCCCTCTGACTGGTGTCAGCTCCCCCATTAAGATCTTTAGCATGGTTGACTTGCCAGCTCCGTTTTCTCCAACCTAGAGAAGCAGTATCATCATCAGAAAACGTGAAACCCATGAAAGTACTTCAGAGAGGGGGGCAGTGATCAGGGAATTTCAACTTGCTTGGACGACCACGCAGTGGAGGGGGCAGCATGAGAGACTAACCAGCAGCTCCAGCTACCTGGAAGCTGCTTTTCTATCACTGAGGAGCAGCACAGGTAGCAGTGCTAGAAGATGTTCCCTACTCAAACCTCGATCCTAAGGATTACCTGGTCCCAGCCTCATTTGCAAGCAAATAGCATCTCTCTGCTGCCCCATCCAATGCAGCAGGAGTCCCCACTACATGCTGCTGTTGTCGGCTAACAGGGAGTTACAGAGAAGATGAACCCAGTCTCTTCTCAGAGGCACCTGGTGAAAGGATGAAGTGCAACAGGCACGAGTCCCAAATTCTGACTGGTATGAAGAAAAATGTTCCAATGTTCCTCAAACTGAGGATGATCAAATGCTGCAATGGGACTCAGAGGAATGGGAGAAACAGTCCTCCCTGAAGATATCCAGAATTCAACTGGACAAGGACCTGAGAAACCTGACCTTACATCAAAGCTGGCCCCACCTTCAGCAGGGACCTCCCAAGGTCCCTTGTAGCCACCATTATTCTGCAATCCCACATACCACACAGATGCGGGACTCCAGGTCAGCAGAGACGGAGAGGGAACGGAAGATGTAGTGACTTGGGTCGTAATAGAAGTCTACTTCGTCTAGCTGCAGGATGGGGGGGGAGAACTTCTCAAAGCCATCAGGGAACCTGGGAAGGCAGGAAGAGGTGAGAGATAGCCAGGAACTTCAGAGACTCTGTTCCCAGCCACCCTGGGCAACTTCTGCAACCCTCCAGGTGGCAAGGGGGAGCCCCAACCATGCAGGGCCTCTGGGAAGCATGGTCACATGGAGGGGATACGGATCTGCAGCCTTGGCCCCAGCAGGGAACCCAACTGAAATGTGGGACTCTGTCAGATTAAGGCTGGCCCGAAGGAAAGGGTGGCTGTCCCAGCCAGGACAGGACTCAGGAGGAGCTCACGTCAGAAAGGGAGCCAGGTGGCCTCCAAGCAAGGGCTCAGGGGACACTTACTTCATGATCACCTCAGACTCCTTGTCCACAGGTTTCAGATCTGGTCTGCAAGAAAGAGACACATAACCAAAGTGCTCTGCACTGGCAGTCTGCTCTCACACCAGAAGGCATCAGCTCTGCGACACCTCATCCTAGCCAAAGCCTCCGTACCAGAGACAGGGCACCCAAACCCCAAACTGCCCCCCTATCTCCCAGGGAACCTCTGTTTCTTCCCATGAGCACTGCCCGCCCACCACCTCCAGAGGGGAGCAGGACAAGCACTCACAGCTTCTCCAACAGCTTGAGCTTGCTCTGCACTTGGGACGCCCGGTTGGCGTTGTAGCGAAAGCGGTCGATGAAAACCTACAAGACATAAAAGCATCAGAGAATCTCAGGTCCCCTTCAGCCCTAGCCACATCGCTCCGCTGCAAACCTCCTGCAACAACAGAGCCACATCCACAGGTCTAGAAGCACGGAGAAAGGAACGAGGCTGCGAGAAGAATGCCCCAGCACTACCAGCTTCCTCCAGTACCTGGATGTGCTCACGGTACTGCTGCTGGGCTTCGTACTCTCGTTGCTGGTTCTTCAGCCGCTCCTCCTTGATCTTCATGAAGTTCTCAAAGTCCCCTCGGTACGTGTCCAGCCGCTGCGAGTGCAGGTGGATGATGTCCGTGGCCACCGCATTCAGGAAGTTCCTGTCGTGGGACACCACGAGGATGGTCGACTGCCAGTTCTGGAGGAGACAGCGAGAAGGGAGGCCTGAGCACCACTGAGCCAGAGCGCAGGGCTCGGTCCCACCACCCAGTGAGGTGAGACACCAGCCTGGAGGACATCTCCATCCCTCGCCCTTGCTCTGTCCCAGGGCTTCCTGCTACCCCCTACCTGCAGGTAG